GGGACGGCGGGCTGGGGGGGCGCGCGCCCGGCCTCCGACACGGTGGCTGAGAGCGTCGGCCGCCCTGGAGGACCTCAGGGCTGCACCGGACCGGTGCATTCCCACCGATGGAAACGGCCTGGAAAATGGGAGCACCCAGGGCTCTTTAGAAAGTCTCACTGGAGACTAGATTTTTTTTTTAATTTTTTTCTTTTTAACTTGCTATAGAGCACGTGCGTGAGGGGGAGAGAGAAAGTGAGAAAGCAAAGCTACCGAGTCCGGGACTCGAACCTAAGTATGTGGGAGTCCAGCGCCGTAACCACCACGCCACCATGAGAGCAGATTCTTAAAGGGAAATTGTGTAGTTTACTTTTTAAGACTTTCTACAAGGCATGTGTGAGTATTGGAATGAGGCGCATCCCTCTCCCCTGCAAAATACTTTCTGTAACATAGAAAGGAGTCTGTGGGACGAGAAGAGAAATATTTACAGAATTGTGGAGAGAAAGGACCCTCCACTGGCTGCGAAGAGGAAGTTAGTGTTGGTGTCCTTGGGACTGATCTCTCACTTGGTGTATGCTGTCAAGTGAGATTGGGTTCTTTTTTATTTTAATTTTTAAAGTTCTGCCCCAGGGTGTGCATGTGCACTCACTAGAGGGAGAAAGCATGAGAAGCCCTCCCCCACTATATGAGGCCGACCCCACTGCAATCCCTCTGCCTCCTCCCCCCCCACCACCGCCGTTGGGATTTGGGGCACACACTCTGCCATGTGGGGGTCCAACTGCCTTCACCACCCACCAGCTGGCCCTGGATCCTTTTTAAATGAGCTCACTGTCTACACTCCAAATCTTCACATCTGTAATTATAATTCATGGATCCCCAGAAGAGGCCAGCAGATGACACTATCAAGCGCAAGTGCTGGTGTCAGTTTCAGTTTTCAAACCAGGACTGATTTGAAACCACGTCAGTCTGTGGTTGCAGAAGCCAGGCCTGTCTATGTGGTCCCAGAGTACACTTTGTAAAATCAGAGGAGCCAGACCTGGAGGGATATTTTATCTACTCCAACCTCCTTTTAGCAGATGGGAACATGGAGGTCCAAACCGGAATGGCCCAAGGCCTCAGTGACTTGGGAATAAAGCCAGAGACTAGAACCCAAATCTCAGTGCCAGCCCGGTGGTGGTCCGCCACGATCACAGTAACTATTTCAGAGTGATTGATAATTACGTCCTGTATACAGACATTCGATAGACTACAAAACTCAAGGTTTCCCTGACAATCATTGCACCAGCTCCTTCCTCAGCCCAGGAGTAAGAGACTAGATTAAATCACACACACAACTTTCCTTTAATTATCTAGTCTCGGGGCCAGCACTGTTGCTGGCCTTGAACTCTGGGCTTCAACCTCTGGGTAGTGGCTATTCCAACACTGCCTAGTTATATAAATACCATTGGATTTAATGACATGGATTGAGGGCCTATTGTTCATCCAACACACTTCTAGGATTTGAGGAAAACAGTGAACGAGATGAAAGCAACCCCCGCCTTCTAGGAGTCCATAATCGAATGGATGATTTGAATAATTACACTGATAGTAAAAAAGAAATGATAACTGCTGTACTGCAAGTAAAGCTTCAGTCGCTGCCGACCAGAGTTAGCAAATCTTTTCTTGATTCATGCCTTCCCAAGAGATCCAGAAAAATGTTCAAGAGACCCCCTCCCCGTCCTGATCCATGATGTGGGAGGCAGCCCAAGAAGGAAGGGGATGGCTGCAGAGGAATAGAGGGGTACTCAGACAGGCTATTAGGTGGCCAGGGTGTGGGGCCTTACAGAGGGGCTTTAGGAAGAGCATGGAGCAGCTGGTGAGCTGGGATGAGGATGCGGCACAGGAGAATGGAACAGAAGCAGTAGACAGAGTGCAGATAAAACATGAGTCCCAGAGGGCCCTCGCCAGCTGCATCCCAGGCAATCAGGAGCCCAGGATTAAAGACCCCACCCCTGCCGTGACATCACAGGGGAGTGGGGTGGAGACGAACAAAAAGGGGGTCCCCCGCCCTGGCCCTAGACTCTTGGCAGCCAGAGTGTCAGGAGCAGAGAGAGAGCCTGGGCACTATCTAGGGTTGCCTGGCTTAAAGGAACAGCCTTCCCGTTCCTCAAAACCCTCTAAGCCTCCCCCTCCAGACTGTAACCTCTGTCTCCCTGTCCTGAGGACTTCTTCTCCTGAGGCCACCATTGGGTCTCTTCTGGGGGGCCCCTGAGCACTCTCGCAGCATGAACTGCATATCCGACTTCTTCACCTACGAGACCACGAAGTCAGTGGTGGTGAAGAGCTGGACCATCGGGATCATCAACCGGGCAGTTCAGCTTCTGATCATCTCCTACTTTGTGGGGTGAGTCTTCAGCCCTTCAGGTCCTGGTGCCCTGTCCTTCCCCTACTCCCCTCACTGCTGGATTGTAATCCGGCTTCCTGAGCTGGTCCTCTCTTAGGGAAGACACCCTCTTTCTGGGGAGCCATGTCCTAAGGACTAGCCCCCACCCAGAACCTTGTCCTGTGTTGGGTTCTTGTTCCCAGTACATCCTCCAGAGTTGGAGAGCCATTTCCAGCCACTCGGAGGTGTGGGGTCCTCGCCCTGGCACTGCCCCCATCGGGAGAGGTTCTGGCTGACCCACTTCTACTCTCCATGGTCTCCCCATCCCCCAACCGGAGAACAGGCACAGCCTCCCCCACCTCTTCCTATTCTTCTCAGTCAACTCTTGGGGGCTATATAAAGATAAGGGGGGACAGGAAAGGGGTGATGGTGACAGTTGATCCTGTTGATAGCAGGTAGGGAGAAGGGCCCATGGGGAGGGCAGGGGAGCCCTGGATCGGTTTGAGAATGTGGAATTCCCTCCTGGCATGGGCGAGATGGGGAGAGGGCTTGGCAAGGGAGAAGCCCTGGCTCTTGGTGAGTAGGACCACGAGAGAAACGGCCCCTCAGGGTGAGGAGAAACACAGCCCAAGTAAACCCAAGGGCAGAGCTACTGAGGAGAGTCATTTTTCTAAACATAGTGTGAGAATCCAGACGTGCTCCCCTTTGTCTAAGAGGGTAAATTCCCGGTCTCTACCTGAATTCGTAACAGCCAGCCCATCCTGGGAGTTGCGTAAGAGCCGGTAAGGGCCAGTCCCTGGCTGCTGCTGGTGCCGGTCAGCATCCTCTTTCCTGTGCTCCCCTCCATGCCTTGGAAAATGAAGGAAATCAAAGACTTTCTGCTAACAGCCCAGTGAAAGGATGCCAAATCTATCAAGGTCAAGAAAAATAAAGATAATGGGAGGTCGGCAGTGACATGGTGGTTAAGGGCACTGGACTCCCACAGGGGCAACTGCAGTTCAAATCCTGGACCTGGTGGTTTGCCTTCTTACTCCCTCTCTACTTCGCTCTGTCCCTCTCTGGTCACATTAAAATAAAATAAATAAATAAAGTTAAAATTTAAAAAAAAATTTAAATAATAAGGAGAACGTGAAGTTTAAAGTTCGAGGCAGCAGATACCTTTACACTTTGGTCATCACAAAGAGAAGGCAGAGAAGCTGAAGCAGTCCCTGTCCCCAGGCTTGGTGGAGAAGGAGCTAAAATGAACCAGACACTGTTTGAACTACGTTAAACATTTTTTAAATTAAAAAAAAAAAAAGGAAGGGTCAAACACCACCTCTCGGCCCCAACGTCTAAGAGGCACACACGTGAAGGCCATGGGACAGTGGGGGCTGAATACAGGCTCTGTCCTGCATCCCGCACCCCGGAACATAGGCAGCATCCTCGCGCGTTTTCCTTCCTGGGATGCAGATCTCTGGCCTCATGGCCATGCCTTGAGACAATAGATCCCTGTGAGAGACAGCGAGCCGCTGACAGTCGTGACTTAGTCAAGCCAGTCAGAGGAGACATCTGTGTGCGTGTGAGTGGGCCTGCCTGCCTGAAAGGTTGGGGTAGTGTGTGAGAGTGTGTGTGGGAAGGCGGGTACATTTGGCTCGTGAAGTGACTTTCTGCCCTGCCAGTAGGCGTTGGCATACAGACGTTGTAACAAAGCTGTCCATCCCGGGCTCCTTGTCGGGGTGTTAGAGAAGGGATTCAGGCTTTGGGATAGGATTGAATAGCCTTGAAGTTCCCTCCCAGCATGGAGTTTTTGAGATAGGATGTTTGCAAATGTCCAGTGTCCACAACTCCAGAGCTCGGCTCAGACGTGGCCCTTACACGTTCCAGGATGATTTGTTTATTTCACACTTAGGTGTTGATTACTGCCAAGATGGTAGGTGGGACCAGGTGAGGGCAAAAGCTGGCTCAGCACATTCTCAGCCTGGCCTGGCTCCGTTGGCTCCAGACCTGAGACTGATGGAAGAAAGAGACAGCCGGCCTCTGGACCAGCCCCCTCAGCCCCCACTGCCCTGTCTCTCCTTCGTCATGATCAAAGTGGAACCTCCGATCCTCAGAGCTGGAGCCCAGCCTGCTGGAGCAAGCGTGAGAGGCTCTTTGGCGTCTCGAATCCAACGCAATCCATCTCCCGCCTGACAGCTCCCTGTGGAACAGCGCCTTCCACTTACATCGGCACGCTCTGCGGCCCAGCCCCCTGCCCAAGCCCGTCTCTCGTCTGCACATGAGCCCACTGCTGTGACTCTCATTTAGCAAAAATAGATGGTGCATCTGTGCGTGCCAGGCAGGTGCCCTGAGGAGAGAGCGGGGGGACGGGTGGCAGAGCAGGCAGCGTCCTCACCCTCAGGGGCTACAGGACAAGACAAGAGATGGACATGAACCCAACAGTCTCCACCAACGTCAGCTCTCACCTGGGGCTCAGAGTGCCCAGTGCTGGACAGCCCCTAGTAGGAAAGCATCTGGACTTGGCCCGGGAACCAAGGGAGGGTTTTCTGGAGGTGTGATACCCAAGCCGAGATCTGAAGGATGAGTCGGAACTAACCCAGGCGAGAGAAGGGAAGAGGAGGACGCGAGGTGGAGAAACTTGTCTCTATAAAGGGAAAGAAAAGACCCCAGCAAACGAGGAAGA